TTAAAGACCTATCTGTTTAGTAAAGCATACACTCAATGCATCACCTAGCGGGTTCCACACTGGCTTCTGCATCTTGCTTATATACACTATGAACAGCAGCTACGCTAATTATTCTCTTTATTCTCTATTTTCACCTGGGGATACTCATCCCGAGGTCCTCAGATTATGCGGAGTCACTGATTGGATCCAAAACCAGCGACGTGATGATCCCAAGGATTCCATATCCGGGACCAGGCCATATCCTGAGCTGCTGCTGCGCTGATGGTCGTGGGGAGTGGAGAACATGAGTCTGATTCCAGCGACGCTCCAGGGACAGACGAGTCTTCATTGAGGCCATCTTCCAGCCTAAACCACGACGAATGAAGCTCTGCACAAGACTTTTGGCCAGCGGAGAAATTAAAATGGTGGTGCCCAACTGAGTCTGGTTCCCTCAAGGTTTTTTTTTCTTCACTCCCATCAGGTGAAGTTTTTTTTCCCTCTCCGCTGTCGCCACTGCCTCGCATGGTTCAGGATTGGTAGAGCTACGCATCGATGAATTTGCTCTTCAGTGTTTGAACTCTCAGTAATGATTAAATCACACTGAACTGAGCTAAACTGATCTGAACTGAACTTAAACACTAAAACCTGAACTACACTGTTCCAGTTACTGAACCACACTGTTCCAGTTACTATGACCATTTATGTGAAGCTGCTTTGACACAATCTACATTGTAAAAGCGCTATACAAATAAAGCTGAATTGAATTGAATTGAATTGAATATATGCAATCCTGTCTGTTCTTTGATGTCATTGACTTGAACTTAATGCTGAACAGGAATCTGAGCATATAACTACTTTCTTTAATCCACTTTCCTCTATCCAATAAAGCGCAGCAATTATAGCCATCAGTTCTACTGTATATATTGTTAGGTAATTTGTTGTTCTCTTCAGCGCTGACGTCATAACGGCGAGGCAGGCGTAACGGCGGATCAACAAAAACGCGGCAAATTATAAAAATAAAAATAAGATGTTACATTTAAGAATAGAATGTATGTCATTGCATTTAATTACATCATCTTATTGGTAATAAAACCTATAAATGTAAGGTAAGGCTACGTGCCTCACATTAATTTTCAGTTTCAGAAGCAGAGAACGTTTCTTCGCGACATTGAATATGCCGTGGCGACGCAGTGGGTAGTGCTGTCGCCTCACAGCAAGAAGGTCGTTGGTTTAAGACTCGGCTGGGTCAGTTGGCGTTTCTGTGTGGAGTTTGCATGTTCTCCTTGCGTTCGCGTGGGTTTCCTCCGAGTGCTCCGGTTTCACCCACAGTCCAAAGACATGCGATATGGGTGAATTGGGTTGGCTAAATTGTCCGTAGTGTATGAGTGTGTGAATGTGTATGTGTTTCTCAAGGATGGGTTGCAGCTGGAAGGGCATCCGCTGCCCAAAACATGCTGGATAAGTTGGCGGTTCATTCAACTGTGGATACCACAGATTAATAAAGGGACTTCGCCGAAAAGAAAATGAATGAATGAATATGCGGTTTTAATAGAGATGTTTGAAGTAATGTTGTGTTTTTGTCATAGATATACACACTAGATAACGCACGCGTCAATACTGCCGCCACATTTGTACAGTGCTCCCAGGACAAATGTCATTCAACCGCACCGGTTTAAGAATGTGGTAAGTTTAATTTGACATTCATTAGACATTCGATTTCAAACCAAATTAATTGCTCCTGTTATAGTTTGAGCCAAAAATGTCAGACAGGCATAAATATGCCCTTTATGTTGCACAAGGCTTAATTTCTCAATTAAAAAAATAATAATAATTAACTATACGAATGAATTAAACAATTCAACCATATGAAAATATACAATAAAACCAGGACCAAAATGTTAAGAAAATTATCCTGCTTATTGCACAAGACTCTGTTTTTGGAATTAGCATTTTATTTATTTTACAATAATTTTAAAATAACTTTAAATGTAAAAAGTGGTAAAAGTCAATTAAACTCTGACACCATTTGAGATAAAATATACAAATCAACTCTAAAACTGTCTAAATATTATCCTCCATGATGCACAAGCGTTTGGTTTTTACAGTTATGCCTTTGCTGATTGTATATACAGTAATTAATCTAGTTTCAGTACATCAGATAAACTGTAAACACTTAAATGAATTAAACTGACACCATTCGAGATAATATAATCAATTAAACTCTAAAATTATCTAAATATTATCCTCTATGATGCACAAGCTTTGTTTTTTATAGTTATGTCTTGATTGATATTATTTACAGAACTGAATCCACATTTAATATTTAGAAATTTAAAATATAATATTTAGACATTTGTGGAGTTGGTTTGAATATTGTATATCAAATGGTATCAGTTTAATTCATTTAAATGTCAGTCTCTCCAATTCATTACTGTTAACAAAGTCACAGGGCAAAATAGCATACACTGAAAAGCATCGAGCGCTATGGTAATAAAAGGTAGAAATACTCATAACTCTTTTGTGTTTTGTCAGTTTAAAAAAGTAACATGTTAAAAAAATAATGCATACATATTTATGAAAAGTGAGGGAATTATAGATTTGTGTGTTTATTTCAACAAAATTGTTAAATTGCAAACATTTAAAATGATCAAAATGACCGCCTCAGTAGATTTAGCATTAAAGAAACCAAAAAGCAAAATATGATTCCTAATAGCTGACAAACAGAACAAATTTAATATTTTCTTTGCAAGTAACCACAATCAGGAAACATTTTTTATGAATAAATGTAATGTAAATGTAAAATGAATTAAAGCAAGTAAAAAAACAAATGTATATCATGTACTTTCTATCTAGTTTTGAAAATAAAATAAAAAGTTACAAAGAAATAAATCCAAGCGTCTTTTTCCTGTACGTGCGCAATTTCTACAGGCTTAAGAACTTCATACTTAAGTCAAAACAAAATTAGAAAAAACAGTTTTATATTACAATATTTTGCATAAGTTTATGAACTATATGAGTTATCCCACACAGAGTCGAAATCTTGATGGTTCTGTGGCTCTCGTCTTTCAAATCTGAGCGTAATTTTGTATTTTCTATTGGATTCAGGTCAGGTGATTGGCTGGGCCATTCTACAGCTTGATTTTCTTTCTCTGAAAGCATTTGAGAGTCTCTTTGGCTGTGTTTTGGATCATTCTCTTGCTGAAATGGTTTCATCTTCATCCTCCTGCTAATGTAGATGTTTAAAGCAGCTGATATTCATTTATTAACACAGGCTCATTCTGAAAACGTAGTCCCGTGGACGTTTCTGTAATCTGCAAACTATATTGTAGCCGGAGGTATGTATGGCTGCATTTCAATTTTTAAGCGAACGCTACAGGGCGGTATGATGCAGTTTCTTTTTGCGCATACCGGCTGAACGATTACCTCCATGTGGAGGGCTTTTCCGCCGCAACAAGTTTGTTCAGTTAGTTCGTCGTGTACGTCGGCAGAATTGAGACGCAGAGAGGAGCTTACCACGATGACGACGAGTCCGGGGAGGAGCGGTTCCAGAAATCAGGAAAGACAAAAACATAATCCGAAAAATTAAGTGAACAAGTTTATAACAGGGTGAGAATGTGGTAAAATCCGAAAACGTGGTAAAAATCAGACGAGGGCTTTTCTTTTTCTGGACGCTGTGGCGAGGGGGCGTGGCCGAGAGCCGTGGGAATGGAATGAGGCTGTGTAAGTGGATGCACCTGTGGTGCGCACAGGCCTTGAATCCCACGGAAGGACTATAAGAGGAGGAACGATGGCAGAAGAAGCCGAGGGAGGACCGGGCCCGGGCATATTGTTTTACTTTTGCTTTCAGTTTGACAGCAGTCTCCGTGAGGAGCTGCCGTTCTTTTGTTGGTTTTGGTTTAGACGGCAGTCTCCGTGAGGAGCTGTCGTCCCTGTTTTTAATAAATAATTTAAAACTGCATCGGTTCTCCGCCTCCTTCTTCCCGGCGGCCAAAGGGCCGTGAACTTCATTACAGATGGTTTTCGTAAATTGTTGGTTGGGTTTAGGGAAGCCGGTGGGCGAATGGCACTCGCGAGCAGGGCCAGCGCGTCAATAGAGGCGACCTAGGCGGCCGCCTAGGGCAGCAGAATAGAGAGGGTGGCGTCCTCGACACTATCTTCACCTCTCACTCCCTCAGTTATATCCACGTCTAGGGCGGCGTACGCAACACTACCCTCACCACCCGCACCCTTACCACGTCTAGGGCAGCAGAATAGAGAGGGCGGGGTCCGCGTCAGCCCCACCCATTTTCACTTTAGGGTTGAGGGCGGTGTGACCGTCCCTTGCCTAGAGCGGCAGTTCAGCTTGCTCCGGCCCTGCTTGCAAGAGACATTTGAGATATAAAAAAGGGCACACAGCGGTCTTTCGTGAATTCACGAAAACAAAAACTGCAAAAATACGTACCTCCCAGGACGTATTTAGCGGTCTCCAGAAACGTTCACAGGACTACGTTTTCAGAAAGAGCCTGGGTTGTTATTTACACTGAGGGAAAGCAGAGGGTTGCTGAAGAACTAAAGAGAGATTTCAGCTGCTGTCTGGGCTTTCACCGCCGAACTACACCTTCCTTTCTTCATGTGTTCAATACTTTCCCCCTGTGTAATCTCATTTTACTACACATAACTCAAACTAATTAGATTTGTTTTCCTTGCATGTGTGGATATCTTTGTTGAAATTTTCATCAGGGGAAAATTTCAAGTCAACAGCACCTTTAGAAATGTGTTTTCTGAGAAAAATGGTGACACGTTCAATACTTATTTTCCCCACTGTGTTTGTTTTAGCATGCCACGAGTTAAAAAAGTTTTTTTTTGCTTTACTGTCATAGATTTCAGATCATATAAACCAAATCATCGGTTATTAAATGCTGTCCAACTAAAGAGTCTCAAGCGCCACCAACTGGACATTATTAGAAGAGCTGAAGATTCTGAGGCAGGATAAATACACTTTTCATAGACACACTTTTGTGTATTCATGAAACATACTGGAGTCAAAGCAATAAACATTTAATTGATGAGAAAAACTCTTTCATAATGAACTTGACTAAGGATTCTCCCTTGCATGAACTCTGAGATGGAGCTTCAGCTCGTAAGGCCTTAAATATGTTTTGCCACACTGATCACATTGGTGTGTTTTCACTCCAGAGTGGATCAGCATGTGTATTTTAAGGAACGACGAAGCTCTGAAACACTTCCCACACTGAGTACATATGTACGGTTTCTCTCCAGTGTGGATCCTCTCATGTTGCTTCAGATGTCCTGTATTTCTGAATCTCATGTCGCAGTGCGAACACTTGTACGGTTTCTCTCCAGTGTGAATCATGTGGTGTTGTCTCAAGTCCGGAGCTCTGAAAAAACTCTTCCCACACTCAAAGCACACAAACTCTCTCACACCAGTGTGGATCTTCTGATGGTGTTTTAAATTGGTCTTCCTTACAAAACTCTTTCCACACTCAGAACATGAATAAGGCTTCTCCTTTGTATGAACTCCAAGCGGTGAAGGCCTCGCAAGCGTATGGCCGCATTGATCACACTTGTTTACAGTGTGGAGGAGTGGATTAAGGGAGGATGAAGCTATGAAACTCTTCCCACACTGAGCACATGTGAACGCTGTCTCTCTAGTGTGAATCCGCTCGTGGATTTTAACATGTCCTGAATATCTGAATGTCTTGTCGCAGTGTGAACACTTGTAAGGTCTCTCTCCTGTGTGGATCCTCATGTGACGACTGAGATCATATTTGTGCCTCAAACTCTTTCCACACTGAGTGCAGGTGAAACCATTTACAGCTGTTATGTTCCCTGAAAAACTATCTTCAGTGTTCGTGTGAGTTTCTTCTTCACTCTTGATTCGATGTTTCTCCTCATCTTCACTCAGTTCTTCACTCTCCTCCTTCACCATCACATCTGAAAAATTAAGTCACATTTTAAGAGGCACTGTTTACCAAATCATATCGTAACCAAAAGTCTGAATCTACCAGAGGTTCACTGTAGTGAACATCTGATCGCAATGGCCACTAAGTGGCTGTGGTTGAACATGTCAAACTACTTCTCATTCAAAACATTGAATTTTTTAAATAGTGTGTAATAGGGATGTAATGGTATCAGAATTTCACGGTACGGTAATACCTCGGTATGAATGTCACGGTACGGTATTTATTGAATCATTTACAGGAAAAAACAAAACTTATGAAAATACTCCAAAAAAGTGCCAAAAGTGTCAATGACATACAAATTAGTCATCTATCTGTAAGCTTTGAAACAGGAACTTCAATTTTAATAACAAAAAAATATTAAACCATGTAAAAAAATTAAGTTTTAATTTAGTATTGTTGAAAACTCATCACATTCAACATTTAATCACTCACTCACTTAGATAGAGATGGGTTTAAAGGAAAATTATCATATAAATATAATCTGGTAAAAGCTGGTATCTCTGGGTATTTACAATGTCCCCTGCAACAGAAAAAAACCCCTCTCATTTGGGACTGAGGATTCTGGGACAAGAGAGATATGACTTGGCCCTGGTTGACAGCAGTGGGTAACGTTGTGCATTGTCTTTCCCCCACTTGAGAGGACAAACCATGAGTAAGATAGAGGTCTCATGTCTGCATCAATCTGAACAGTGTGCTGACAACACCGCTATTCAGTACGCGCGTGACAACACAGCTGATAAGAACTCGCGCGACAACACAGCTGATATGAACTCGCGCGACAACACAGCTGATAAGAACTCGCGCGACAACACAGCTATTCAGTACGCGCAAGACAACACAGCTGATAAGAACTCGCGCGACAACACAGCTGATAAGAACTCACGCGACAACACCGCTATTCAGTACGCGCAAGACAACACAGCTGATAAGAACTCGCGCGACAACACAGCTGATATGAACTCGCGCGACAACACAGCTGATATGAACTCGCGCGACAACACAGCTGATAAGAACTCGCGCGACAACACCGCTATTCGGTACGCGCAAGACAACACAGCTGATAAGAACTCGCGCGACAACACTGCTATTCAGTACGCGCGCGGCGACAACACCCGCTTTAGAGTTTTCCAGCTCTTTTTCATCCCTGCTTCTAGCAGCACACTCCATTTCCGCATTACTGGATCTGTAGCGACAACAGACCGCAAGGGATGATGGTCAAGCATGGGCTGATGGGAATTGTAGTTTTCGCTACCTCCCGTTCGCTTCATTCGCCTGAGCAAATTTTCTCAGAAGACCTATAGTTTTACCGAGTCATGCGACTACGGTAATATCGAAAAAAATTAATATTGCGGTATTTACAATACCGTTACATCCCTAGTGTGTAATAATCACAACAAAACGTATTAAAGGGTAAGTGAATTATAACAGCGCAAACTTTTCTGTAACCGCAGTAGTGCTGTGTGTAGCGTCCTGGTTAAAAGATGACTAAATCTTCCACTGATGTTCACGATTCATTTATTGGTCACACTTCATAGAATTTATTTACATTATTCAATCATGAATCACCGTAAGAACTAGAGAGAGAATAAATAAACAACAAACACAAATAAATCCCGAAAATTAACACTAAGCCAACATCAACAATTAAACATTAAACAAATAAACCAAATTACCTTATTTTTCTCTCAAACCAGGAGCTATAACTCATGAAGGAGGAATCCGTGAAGCAACCGTATACCTGTGCCCCTTTTACCGTGTTTCACCTAGCGTTCCATCATTGTTTTCGTTCATTTCTACACGCAATTTATACATCCGGTAAGCTCTGCAATTTTGACGTCATAATTAAAGTCCCCAAACAACGTAATTCATACAACAAATCAACCCACATACAAAATACAACAAAACATCAAAAAATAAATAAATAAATAAATTCAAAATCATAAACAAAGCAACACATTATTTCAAGTTTCTTTACACTGTGCGTTATTCGTTTAACTCTTTAAGGTTACGTGCCGACTGACTGACTGACAGGTGCATCATGCATGAGGCCAGCAAACACGACGTATAGCAGTTTCCTTTTACTTCAGGACGCATTAATATCGCTCTGTAGGTCTATTAGAGACATTCATAAATATTCCTAGCAAATCTAATAAATACTGGAGACAAAAACGCACTAAATCGCACTTCAGCAATGTTTATTTGAGAGCGCACAAGAAGATCTGCGCGCTCTTGAAGCGGCTTATATTTGAGGGGGCGTGCAAGAAGTTTAGAAAAGGAATGAAAATCGGCGCGCAAGCAAAGAGATCCGTATGCTCATAGGCTATTACATAAATGCGATCTTGACTTCTAATACAGGGTTCCTGCACCATTTTAAAAGTTAAATTTAATGCTTTTTAAGACTTCAACAAATATAATTTAAGACCAAAATATTTTATAATTTCTTTGGAAAAGGCTACTCATTTTAATGTTTTCGTTAGATTTAAATAAATTGTGCCTCGTCACAGTATGGATAACCCACAGTACCTGCTTTTTGGATGTCTGGTGGTGAAATGAAACTGTTACAGCTGACTGTGAGGGGGCGTCTGAACTACAGCTGTAATCATGTTATAAAAGTTAGGCCCGATAGAGCCCGAACCCGACAAGTACATTTTGATTGACAGCTTTTTAAAAGCTCGAACCTGTTTACAGCCCGACATTATCCAAATGTGCACAGGCACAGCTCTTTTGTCTTTTTTTTATGAATGAGTTGTTTATAAGGGTTAACATTACTTATTCATAACATAGGCTATAGGCCTAACATTAGTAACTAGTAACATTGTTAGGTTGAGCTGCAAACAATGCAGGGATTAACCTGGACCTGCTATGACAAGCTGCAGCAACGTCCCGCTGCTGCTTTCCTCCTTTCATGTGCGACTTGACGACTTTGAGACCCATGGTCCCTAACGAAGAGGTCTTTTTGCAGGAATTTACACATTGCTTCATTGCCACATCGTTAAATGTACAATTTCCCATCTTTGCATTTTGACACATCAACAACCGCATAATAACAGTGCTAAGCTAATAAATCACGGAGACTGTCATTTCTCTCCTGTTTTACAAGTGCTAAATTAAACAACTATTAGATGTTTTACGGTGGACCACTGTCCTTCCCTATCGTTATTAAGCAGACGACACTCCTCCCTAAACAGAGCTGGACACGCCCACTTTTCTGGCTTTTTCCAAAGTAGAGGTGTGAAAACACCCTGCTGAAACGAGGGGGTTTCATGGCCCTTTAACAAAAGAAAATTTATGATTTTTTTATTTATGATTTTTATTTTGACAATGTTATATGTGGATTGTCACGGTTCATACGCTGGTTTTTGTAAATGTGAGAGCTAGTTTTCTCTTTCCCTTTCCTGTCTTCGCGTACTTCCGTGGCGCCTCTCGCTTGTTTCCTTCATCTTTCATTCTTTTCCACCTTTTCCTTGAACTAAAGAGTGTACATTTAATGGTATGAGCTGAAGCTGCCGATCTGTCAGTCATAATAACACCCTAACCCTAATCCTAACCCTGACGTGGCCAAATTGAAGGACATTATTTGTGCTTTACATGTATGGCTGGTATTATGATGTGTAACTCTTTCCCTGCAGTTAACAAGAGAAAACGCTTCCCTGCTATTGACGAGTTTTACGGCAATCTGTGTATTAAGTGTATTACGGTAGGGGAAGCCCTAACACATGTTCTGAGTGAGGAACATGATGTCAGATGCTCCAGGGAGTAAAATCTGAGAGAAAGTAGGATTGTGGTTAAAAAAACAAGAGTTATACAACCTTCCTTTGGCTTAATCCCCAACAACTTATATCTGTTTTAGATCTTGTCTTAACAAGTGACTTTAATGATTTATGTCATTGTGTCAATATGCACAGCTAACACGTTATATAATATATATACACACACATCCACATATGTATGTTCACTGTAGGTCACTGAGAAGCTACGCAGAACAGCTGTAGATAACTGTGAAGTAAATGATAAACACAAACCTATTAGTTCTTCAGTCTGTTCCTGTTTAATTCTGCAGGGTTCTGGATCACTCATCTTCTCACTGTCCTTCAATAAACTCTTTGTCTTTCACTGATGGCAGCAGAACTTCAGGAGAAAAAATAAAGAAATCAAATTCATTTACACTGATTAAATAAATCATATTATGATGTTATATTTGGTATGTGATGCAGTGTGAGATTAAGTATACTCCACAAGTCAGCTGATGCTATTAAATTAACTTAATGTAGATCTGAAGACATCAGTGAATGAGGAAACAGGAACTATTGACATGAAATCAAGAGGTATTCAGCAGCTCTGATAATATTGATGTGGCTCAGACTAATAATACTCACTAAACAGTCAGTCAAGATCAACATATACTGAATGTAGTATGTATATATAACTACATCTGCAGGTTACACCAGTTATAACGGTATACTTCCCTTTTATATCGACAGCTAGTAAAATTTCTAGTAACAACAGAGTAATCAGATTGTCAACATTACACAAACTGTGAAACCATAGAATATGGAATCAAAGAGCTTCACAAGCTGTTAATTTAACATTTTCTCTTTTAAACCTCATCTGTGTATCTGCAGCGGCAGATTCCCGTTATTCCCCTTCACAGATCATACTCTGCTATTTAACTGACACAAACACAAAAAAACTCAAACACAACAACAGAAAAGTTGCACACTCTACGATCGTTATTCTCACACAGCTACTCCGGCATTGTCGCCTTGATAAATCGTGTTTTATTGTTGTGTAAACACGAGAAAAAGCGTCAACGACTCACCTCAGCTCTGAAGACTCGACGCTGAGTGAACACGTCCGCGCTGACGTCATCACGGCGAGGCGGGGGCAACGGCGGATAAACAAAATCACGCCGAATCAACTGTTGACCTAAACATTTGCAATATACAGTAGCCACCAGCATTTGAAATCGATCAAAACCTTTCAGCAACGTTGTTCAGGCACTTAAAATGTAACAAAATCACACAACAACATCAAAATGCAAATGCAATAAGTAATGGCTGACAGATATAACAAGAATAAAAATATATTTTCCATGAGGTATCAAGAAACAGCAAATTATAAATAAAAAATAACATTTGAAAGGGACTGCTTGAAGCAAATAATAATGATAAAATAAAAAATGTAATGTATGTAACCTGCTGAAAAATCCAGCTTAAACCAGCCTAGGCTGGTTGGCTGGTTTTAGCTGGTCGACCAGGCTGGTTTTAGAGGGGTTTTGGCCATTTCCAGCCTGGTCTTAGCTGGTCAAGCTGGGAGATGACCAGCTAAAACCAGCTTGACCAGCCTAGCCAAGCTGAGAGTCCAGCCAAAACCAGCTATATCCAGCTTAAACCAGGCTGGTCAAGCTGGTTTTAGCTGGATTTGGCTGGTCATTTTCCAGCCTGACCAGCCAAGACCAGGCTGGAAATGGCTGGAAACCAGCCTGGAAATGGCCAAAACCCCTCTAAAACCAGGCTGGTCGACCAGCTTAAACCAGCCAACCAGCCTAGGCTGGTTTAAGCTGGATTTTTCAGCAGGGAAGAATAAACAAGTTATTAAATATTCCCTGCTAAAAAAAAAACTGCTTAAACAGCCTTGGCTGGTCGACCAGCCTGGTTTTAGATATTATTCCTGGTAGGTGACCAGATAAAACCAACTTGACCAGCCTAGCCAGTTAAAACAAGCGATGTCCAGCTTAAATCAGGCTAATCAAGCAGAATTTAGCTGGTCATTCTCTAGCATGACTAACTAAGACCAGACTGAAAATGGCCAAAGCCGCTCTAAAACCAGGCTTGACAACAAGCTAAAATCAGCCAACAAGCCTAGGCTGGTTTAAGCTGAGTTTTCTCTTAATATTTCAAACATCACAAAAAAAAAAAAAGTTTTCTGTTGTAGGAGAAGTCAGTGTGGGCCTTTTTCTTATTAAATATATTACTACTACCATGAAGACAAAGGAAATGAATACGCAGTGGCCTTTAGTAGCTCAGATGCTCAAGACAGTAATAATACTGTGGACCGTTATCGGCATTAACGCGAGACTTCAAAACAAAACAATCAGTCCGAGATCGATTGTAATGAGAAAGCAAAATTATCCAACGAACCAGGCTGTATGTGTATTATGGTTGTGTAATAGTCATGGCTATATGGATGTCATTCTTACCGGCAAATGTGCATTTCATGTACATGAAAGTGAAAGCATGCTGAAATATTACTGAGAGCTGTTAATCTTAAGAAAACTGACAGAAATTACCATCTGATCATTGCACTGACACCTGGAAAGAAAGATCAATATTGAACATTGAATATCAATATATCAGCTCATCTGTTATTTATATCTATAATTTAAGCCTATAATATATATATATATATTTCTAAATTTATTTACATCAGTTTTATTTTTTAATAGTCAGTTGTATTTAAAGAAGAGTTATGCTGAAGTTATGTTTGGCTTTTGACACATTATTTAAAATATGTGGCTAAGAAATAGTTATTAAGTACTTTTTTGGTGGGGCCAGTGAAAATTCTAAACCACTGGCCCAATTGGACCAGTCGAAAAAATCCTTAGTGTTGAACCCTGCTGTGTGTATTCCTACTGTGAAATGACCACATCAAACGTGACGTGCTAACATGAATGCAGTTCACTGGAGTGAATGTCACCGACTCGGTCCCAGTCATTCCCCTCGCTGGCCAGCAGAGGCCGCCATCTCCGGACTTCTAGCATTATATCATCCACATACGCTGATTGTGCATACACCTGTTCTGAATCAAGCTAACGACCCACGTACCCTTTATAAGCCAGTTCCAAACACTCAGTCAGTGCGAAGTCTTGTTTAGCCCCGGCCAGCATTATTGAGCGGTATTTCCTGCCTGATCTTTTGTGTACAACTCCAGCCTGTTTCTGACTCTGCTTTGCCATCTGCCTGCCCACGACCCAAGTCTGATACACGGACTCTGATACTCGCTACCTGCCCACGACCCAAGCCTGATACACGGACTCTGATACTCGCTACCTGCCCACGACCCAAGCCTGATACACGGACTCTGATACTCGCTACCTGCCCACGACCCAAGCCTGATACACGGACTCTGATACTCGCTACCTGCCCACGACCCAAGCCTGATACACGGACTCTGATTCACGCAGCCTGCCGTTGACCCGTGTCTGGTAAATCCCTCTGTGTCTGTTTACCACCAGTCTTGATACCTTTAAGACGTTTGTTGATGTGTGTTTGCACATTGGTGCATATTGTGTGTTTGAGTGAGAGTTAATAAATACTGCATAATGGATCCCTCCGTGTCAGTCTCCTCGTTACAGTGAATCTGACTAATGTTAGCTCCATCTCACTATCAGGCACCTCTAGAGTTTATGCGTTCCAGTAAAACAGATACAAACAAAATGGAGCGAGCGCTTTTTAAAATGAATGATGGTGAATATAGTCAAACCGGTGAGCTGTCAGACAAACAAAAAAAAAGTGCCATTCCCAATCAAATCAGCAGGATGCCCTTCTGGATCTTTCACTTACTTCAAAAGACACTACTGACTACATGGACATCAGTAATCTAGTTATTTGCCTTAATAAACAATAATATAATTAAGGTGTTTACGTGAAGTGCTTTCATGTTATGAGTTTCCTGTCATTTTGCAGTTCTACTTTCACTCATGAACATTTCATTCATGCCACCGTGACAAACTAGGCTATTAGACGCAAATAAGAAGAAAGGACTGGTGTGAGAGTGTTATTGAATTTAATAACCCACGCCTTCTGCATTTCACTGTGTGTGTGTGTGTGTATAGATCTTGTCTGAAAATATGACAAAGTCTTTCATGATAGTAATAGTTTGATTGCGGTGTTTACTTCAGTAATGCCACTAATATCTGCATACTCCTCATGTCTTAATTCCATTTCTACTTAGTTCAGTGATGACTACAGTTCAACATTCATGTTTAGCTGAATAAACAGTTAGTTAACACAAGCACATCTTATTGAACATCATTTATTTTCATCACCAATTATCACAGTAGAACAGTTTCTCAAGCAGTTTGTGATGCATTTTGGAAACAGGAGATAAGCCCCTCGTCTAATGCGCCACCTGGCTTGAGAAACCCTATTTTAAGTCATTATTTGGGTAGCACACATATTCTGAATGCCTTCGGGAGATTTCAAATGAGCCATTTTAATCTAGATTAATTGCAAGATTACAGTGAGATTAATCAAGATTAAAAAATATATATATCTATGCCCGCCTATAATAAAAACAATTTGATGGACACACTTTCATTGAATATATTTTAGGCATAAAGTGTTTTTTTTTATTATTTATGAAACAAACTGGAGTCAAACCAATGAATATTCCACTGCATTAATGGACGTTTGATGACACAGCTTTAATTTATAGCTGGGAATTATGCTAAATGTGAATAAGTGCGCAGATGTGCTTTAAATTATCGGAATTCATCAACAGACACACGTTTAGCTGTGAAATCTGATGTCTGGTGAATACAGGAGAGTTTTCAGGAAGGTAAATCTAATATGTTAAACGCTTTCATAATGAACACGACTAAGGCCGTACTCACACTAGGTACAGTTGCCTCGAACCGGGCCAAAGCAAGCTTGTCCCCCCTCCCATCTCCCCTGACGGCCCGCGCTCACACCTCAAACGGGCTTCGGCACGCTTACGTCATCGCTGCTGCGCTGTTCAGTGAGAAGCGCTCTCTCACTCAGCAGCACAGTGGAGATTCCTCTAGTTATATCGTGTCAGTCGTTTGACATGCAGTCAAATATTTCGCCAAACAGTCCTTAGAGATGCGATGACACGCAGTCAGATATTTCGCCGAACAGATCCGCCACTTTTGGCGCTCAAAAACAATCATAAAGCCCTCGTGCTGCAGGAATGAGGAGGTCTGCTGAAGGCGCGCAGCTGTCGTGAAGTGAGGAGTTTGCGTCTTTAATAAACGACGGCAGTTTGCGTTCACTGAACAGTAAGAATGATTAATAAATCCATATGAAACAACCCCTTAAAGTCACGTATCGCTTTCAGTTTCGGGCTTTGGTGCGTTTTGCACTCACACACAAGCGTACCGCGCTAAAGCCCAAGTGAACCGCGCTCAGGCACACCTCTTCCAACCGGGCCAGGGCCGGCCAAGTGAACCGTGCTTGAGCCCGATTCAGCGCACTCACATTTCTCAAACGATCCGGGAAACAGGCCTGGGCACGGTTTGGATAGCATAGTGTGAGTAGGCCCTAAGGCTTCTCCTTTGCATGAACTCTGAGATGAGCCTTCAGTTCATAAGGCCTTAAATAAGTCTTACTGCATTGATCGCATTTGTGTGTTTTCTCTCCAGAGTGGATCAGCATGTGTGAATTAAGGGTTGTTGAGTGTCTGAAACTCCTCCCACACTGAGTACATGTGAACGGCTTCTCTCCAGTGTGGATCAGCATGTGTGAATTAAGGGATGATGAAACACTAAAACTCTTCCCACACTGAGTACACGTGTACGGTCTCTCTCCAGTGTGAATCCTCTCATGTGATTTCAGATGTCCAATACGTATGAATGTCTTGTCGCAGTGTGAACACTTGTACGGTTTCTCTCCTGTGTGGATCCTCTGGTGTATTTTCAATTCTCTAGCTATAATGAAACTCTTCCCACACTCAAAGCACACAAACTCTCTCACACCGGTGTGGAGCTTTTGATGCGATTTTAAACATGACAGCCATGCAAAACTCCTCCCACACTCAGAACACGAATAAGGCTTCTCCATTATATGAACTCTGAGATGGCTCTTCAGCTCTGCAGGCCTCAAAAATGTTTTGCCGCACTGATCACACCTGTGTGATTTCTCTCCAGTGTGGATCAGCACGTGTTGATAAAGGGATGATGAACTTCTGAAGCTCTTCCCACACTGAGTACACGTGAATGGATTCTCTCCAGTGTGAATCCTTGCATGTGTATTCAGATTTACCGAATATCTGAACGCTTTGCCGCAGTGTGAACACTTGTAGGGTTTCTCACCAGTGTGAAGCATCATATGAAGCTTCAGTCTATTTTTGTGCCTGTAACTCTTTCCACACTGAGTGCAGGTGAAACCATTTACAGCTGTAGAACTATGTTCGGTCTTTGAGTGAGTGTTTTCTTCACTTTTGACATGTTTCTCCTCATCTTCACTCAGTTCTTCACTCTCCTTCTTCACAATCACGTCTGAAAAATAAGCAAATAAGTTACATGTTAAGCAGCTAGTTTTAAGAGGCTCTGCGTTTTACAAACCATATTGTATACACACACAAAACACCTGGAGCCTCATGTGTCAACGTTGCGTCCGCATAAAAACTTTGCGTACGCCAGGTTTCACCACCACGTTTTGAATTACTAACGATGAAATGAACGTGAGAATGTGCGCTGGTCCACGCCAACTTCATGTCTGGCATAGGTGCATTTCTTGTCTTGTTTTATTTCCATCGGCGGCGACTCGAGGCACATATGTTAAATTGTACTGAAGGATTCGGATTTCTGCTTTCCAATCCGTCTCATCATGGACCAACGTTTATCCTTTTCATCATCCTGTTTCTCAGTATTTAACTGTGAATTGATTTTAACTAACGAATAAGTTAAAACTGCTTACTGCAAGAATGTTCTGTGTCCTTGTTTCTCTTTTTGCCTGTCTGTTTTAACTTTGTTTTCAGGAGACACACAAACCAGGTCATAGGTAATGGAGACCTCTCTCTCTCTCCATCTGTTCTTATGACTGGAGGTCCAATACAGAGGAGAAGAAGACAGCTGTTTTATTGTCCTGATATATTGCCTATAATATTATAGCAGTTTGATTGATCTGTTTTTGAGAATAATTAATATTAATGTAATTCCTTTTTGTGTGGAGACAGACTGTGTGTAGCCAAAATATTGCAGCAGACTGTTGATGGAAACAGTCTTGAACCAGCCTGATAACACAGCTAAACGTACAAGAAACATCCTTGAGTCTTTAACACAGATGGTCGTTTGTGTCTATTGTTTTCCTGGTTTAGCTTTTTACAGGTCGGAGATCAGCTCCTAATAACTTAAGGCGACCTCACCTCTAGGCATCAGGTCGCCATCCATATCTGGAGACAGATACAATGCTTTCTTTGACGCACGCATTAAGGCCGTCCTTAAGAATTGTCTATTTCTGTTGTAACCAATGAGAACTGTTTACCTGGATCCCACCCTTTCTGGACTTGTGTAAAGAGTATAATTGTTCGATTGTTGAAACTGTAAGCAGAGCGGCCTAGGAACTCATTGCGAGTGTTGAAGTTGGCTTCTGCGAATGAAACTGCAAACTATCTTCAGTAAACTTAATTTATTTATTTAAATCTCTGACTCCGGCTCTTCTTCATCTACCAGACTGGTCATTCTTTGGGTTAAACTGTAAACTATCCCTACAGTACACTCCAAAGAATCGCACCAACATATGTGGAAAAACATTGCTATTCATTTATAATTCATAAAATAGGTTAATTGACACAATATATATTTTTTAGAACATATAAAAGCATTTGCAAATGTATTTTAATGATCACCACCCTCCCTATCCTTAAGTCACCGCTAGAGGGCAGCGGCCTATAAGTTGCCAAGTAATTTGGGCTTAGCAGCTTCCCATCCAGATCCTCATAGTCGGCATTGGCTGGTGTGTAACAGGTTAGCTGCATCCCAAATCGCATACTTATGCACTATTCTACGCCATTTTTCAGTGTAAATAGTGTAAGTAGTGTGTTCACACTGAAAACTCTAAAAATAATAAGTGCACTTCAATTACCCGGATGATGCACTCATTCAGCCGCTAAAATGAAGTGTGTAATGATGGACACTTCACGCACTCAACGACCGCAGGTTTGCTCACGTAGCGGAAGGGGCGGAGCTATCGGGCGCATATGTTGGATAACTTTATTTATTTTGGATGGTGAAAGCAAAATTCTCCTACGAGAGTGATTATAGCGCCTCCTGATGGTGAATGCGGTTATACTCACGGCAGGTATTATTTGATAATTAGATCGTTTATTTCACTGATTTTGTGACCTTCAAACGTAATCAAGGAAACATTTTGAATTTCCGCTTAGTAAAAAAACATTAGTGTGCCATTTGGGACGACACTACATACATATACTATCCTATTGAGTGTGTAAGTGCATAAGTACATAGTGCATGAGTGCATAGTGTATAGTGTGCCATTTGGGACGCAGGGATACCTCACGCTAAAATATTATTATGAACAGCAGACTCCAGCAGCTGAAGGAAGAGAACGGTTTAGCTCCTCCCTTTTATGGCAAAGTGGAACGAGGTAAGTTTGTTTGTGTTTATTTGTTTGCTGGTACTTTGATGTTGTTTATTGAATTATGCGTTGTGTTTGTATTGTGAATGTGTGTGTGTATATTATGCTTTACGTTCTTGTGATTGTTTACACTGTGTTTTTTTTTTTTTGGTTTGTGTAGTTTTACGGTGGACTTGTCAACACGGTGGCAGTGTTTCAGACAGTTCAAATAAATCACCGTGCAAGCATCAGTGAAAACTCTCTGCCTCCTTCTCTGATGCCATGGGACCGCTACAAAGGATGCACCGCTGGATCGCGTCTGTTAAACGTGATATTTAATTAATCTTGTCTCCATCTAACGAGTCTTTGGTCATTTGAATCTATCAGGTCACAGCGACAGTACACACGTTTGTCAGCGCCATTATAACAACACAGATCACTCTGACTATTCATGTCAGATTCCTGCAAGGAAAAGTGATTGACAGGTGGTACTTTGTGTGTAGCTTATCTTTAATTATTAATGATTCGTTTATGGGTAAAACAGAGCATGCAGGTCAGGTAGTGAAAACGGTGGGCTACAAATAATCATCATAAATAATTAATTCACCGCCGCCTACGATGACGATGCCATTGTCCATCGCGATGTTGTACATTAGACATTGTACGAAGCCAAATTGCGAGTGTGTTTTACATGTGAAGTCAATGCAAAGATTGGATAAGACATCTTGTGGCGTGAATTGGCTGTTTTGTGTATTTGACGCCCTTCAGACTGCAAAAGAAAGTGAGATACATCTAACAAACGGAGCAATGGAAGAAACAAAAAAGCAAGCAGCTTACAATGATGGAGATTGGTTCATGGATGACGCCAGCTGGATGTAACCAAATTGAAGGACATTATTTGTGCTTTACATGTATGGCTGGTATTATGATGTGTAACTCTTTCCCTGCAGTTAACAAGAGAAAACGCTTCCCTGCTATTGACGAGTTTTACGACAATCTGTCTATTAAGTGTATTGCGGTAGTGGAAGCCCTAACACATGTTCTGAGTGAGGAACAGGATGTCAGATGCACCAGGGAGTAAAATCTGAGAAAAAGTAAGATTGTGGTTAAAAAAAATAAGAGTTATACAACCTTCCTTTGGCTTAAGTCTTGACAAGAGACCAAAATAAAGAAGCATTATTTTTATTTTTAAAATCACCTAACACAGTATATATATATATATATATATATATATATATATATATATATACACACACACACATATGTATGTTCACTGAGAAGCTACACTAAACAGCTGTAGATATCTGTGAAGTAAATGATAAACACAAACCTATTAGTTCTTCAGTCTCCTCCTGTTTAATTCTGCAGGGTTCTGGATCACTCATCTTCTCACTGTCCTTCAATAAACTCTGTCTTTGTCTTTCACTGATGGCGGCAGAGCTTCAGGAGAACAAACAGAGAAATCTGAAAAACTGTATACTGATTGATTAAATAAATCATATTATGATGTTATATCTTGTATGTGATGCAGTGTGAGATTAACTATGTTCCTCAAGTCAGCTGATGCCATTAAAATTAACTTAAAATGATCTAAAGACAACAGTATAATGAAAGAGGAAACAGGAACTATTGACATGAAATCAAGAGGATTTCAGCAGCTCTGATAATATTGATGTACCTCAGACTAATAACACTCACTAAACAGTCAGTCAAGATCAACATATGCAGAATGAACCAATTATAACGGTTTACTTTTCTCCTAATTTATATCAAGTAAAATTCCTAGTAACAACAGAGTAACCAGATTGTTATCAGTACAGAAACTGGGAAACTATAAAAATATGTAAATAAAGATCTTCATAAACTATTAATTTAACGTTTTATGTTTTAAACCACATCTGTAAATCTGCAGCGGTAGATTTCAGTTATTCCCCATCACAGATCATACTCTGCTATTTAACTAACACAAACACAAAAAAACTGAAACACAACAACAGAAAAGTGACACACTCTACTCCTATTATTCTCACAAGACTACTCCGGCATTGTTGCCTTAATTAATCGTGTTTTATTGTTGTGTAAACCCTTGAAAAATAGCGTGACCACCTCACCTCAGCCGCTGAAGACTCGACGCTGAATGAACGCGTCAGCGCTGACGTCATCACGGTGAGGCGGGAGCGACGGCGCATAAACAAAACCTTTCATCAAAGTTGTTCAGGCTCTTAAAATTAAACAAAACTATATAACAACATCAAAATGCAAACGCAATAAATAATAGCTGTAATAAATAATAAAAAGGACTGTTTGAAGCAAATAATAATGATAAAATAACAAATGTATGTAACATGTAGTCATAAGAAAAAATAAGTTTAAAACTGCCTGATAAAAAAAAACAACCTTGGCTGGTATTAGCTGGTCAACCAGCCTGGTTTTAGATATACTTTCTAGTAGCGGACCAGTTAAAACCAACTTGACCAGCCTAGCCAGCTAAAACCAGCAATGTCCAGCTTAAACCACCCTGCTGAAAATCCAGCTTAAACCAGCCTAGGCTGGTTGGCTGGTTTTAGCTGGTCGACCAGGCTGGTTTTACAGGGGTTTTGGCCATTTCCAGGCTGGTTTCCAGCCATTTCCAGCCTGGTCTTAGCTGGTCAGGCTGGGAGATGACCACCTTAAACCAGCTTGACCAGCCTAGCCAGGATGGTAGTCCAACCAAAACCAGCTATGTCCAGCTCAAACCAGGCTGGTCAAGCTGGTTTTAGCTGGATTTGGCTGGTCATTTTCCAGCCTGACCAGCTAAAACCAGCCTGGAAATGGCCAAAACCCCTGTAAAACCCGCCTGGTCGACCAGCTAAAACCAGCCAACCAGCCTAGGCTGGTTTAAGCTGGATTTTTCAGCAGGGCAGGCTAATCAAGCGGGTTTAAGCAGGTCATTATCCAGCATAACCAACTAAGACCAGGCTGGAAATGGCCAAAACCCCTCTAAAACCAGGCTTGTTGACAAACTAAAAGCAGGTAACCAGCTTAGTCAGGTTTACACTTTTTTTTCTGTGGTAGAAGTATCAGCAAGCATCAAGTGTTCATTGAGATGTGATTGAGATTGTGTCGTCTGTCATACCTTTCGTCTGTCTTTTCGGGTAGGGGGGCTTTCGAAAATGATGACATGAGACTGCTGAGTAGCTGCGCTGATTTGCCAACACTTGTTCATGTCTGTAATTTCTTAGCATCATTTAAGGGTGGTCTTGTTTTACATGGTGAAACAGGTCGTGGTGTTGCCTGCTTTTGATGACACGAGTGTCGGACAGCGAAAAACTAAGTAGCTCATGAAGTCTAGTGACGTTTCTTGTAAACAATGTCTGTGACTCTGATCTTTTTTACCTTATTTCTTTGTTACTCCTTTCAGTGCAACTAACACTGTATGGCTGTAAACTTGTACGGCATGCGGCAGTCAGAAGGGCAGGCTGCAAAATGCTTAAGCAATGTTACGCATAGTATGTAAATATTATCAAGCAATTATCGAACTGTCATTATCGTTTTATCGTCAAAATTTTATATCGTGATAATTATCGATATCGAATTATCGCCCAGCCCTATCTGAAGGTCTCAAAAATAGTTTGCTGCATTGATCACAGTAGGGTTTTCTTTCCAATGTGAGAACTGTTTCCTAATTGTCAAAACACAAGATGTTTCTTTGTCCTAAGCCTGGTTTAGAGTTTTACAAAAAGACTGCATGCGAGAATGACGTAGCACACATTGCTCAGGTGTGAGTTTTTCCCAGATTTTAACAGAAAGTGTAAAAATCTCGATGGTTCTGTGAGTCTCGTCTATAAAATCTGATCTATATTTGGTAGTTAATATTGGATTCAAGTCAGGTGATTGGCTGGGCCATTCTGCAGCTTGATTATCTTTCTCTGAAAGCATTTTAATCTCCTTGGCTGTGTTTTGGATCATTGTCTTGCTGAAATGGTTTCATCTTCATCCTCCTGCTAATGTAGATGCTGGACTGGAGCAGCTGATATTCATTTACACTGAGAAAGAGCAGAGTTGCTGAAGAACTACAGAAAGATTTCAGCTGCTGTCTGGGCTTTTAAAGCCGAACTACACCTTCCTTTCTTCATGTGTTCAATACCTTTTCCCATGTGTAATCTCACTTGAATACACATAACTTAATTTGTAAACTAATTAGATTTGTTTTCTTTGCATATATGGATTACTTTGTTAACAACATCCGGGGAAAATGTTAAGTCAATGGCACCTTTAGAAATAGGTTTTCTGAGAAAAATGAAGACGTGTTCAATACTTATTTCCTCCTCTGGATGTTTTTTTTTTAGCATTCCACATGTTTAAGAATATTGGGAAACACTGTGTTACCGTCATAGATTTCAGAACAGCAATCAAATCATCAGTTATTAAACGCTGTGCAACTAAACCAGGGGTGTCCAAACTTTTTGGGCCGAGGGCCAAATGCAAAAAAAAAAAACCAAAAAAAAAAAAAAACGTTGTCCCGGGCCAAATTTTACATACATCACACAGACACGCATATATATATATATATATATATATATATATATATATATATATATATATATATATATATATATATATATATCATGCTTTTCTTACTTAGATTTTTTTCTCGTTTCGAGTCCAAATATTTAAAGATTCTCAAATCAAGAAAAATTTTCTAGACAAGCAAAAAATATTGTCCTGTTTTAAAAAATAATATGCTAATATAAAGTGAGTTTTTCCTTAAAACAAGCAAACCTCTGTAAAGAAATATTCTTTGCCCCAACGTGACTGAAACTTCCTGCACTGACTAATGATTTTCCTTTTTCTTGGTGCGCCATGGCTCGCCAAAATGTGATTATCAATTATGTTTCCTTCAGTTTGGTCGGTTAGTTTTACTTCATAACAAGAAGTGCTGCCTAATGCCTAGTTCAGACTGCGTGATTTTAGCCCCGATTTTGGCTCGCCGACAGGTTTTGAGAAATCGCCGACAAATGCCTGAAATCACAGGCAAATCGCTGCTCGTGCATGTGAGTGACAATCACACAGTATGAACGATCAAAGACGCGATCTGAGAGAATCGCCAACGAGTCGCCGATGCCTGTAAGATATTTGGCGTGCTGAATATCTGGAGCTGTCGGCGATTCAAATCATGCCGTGTGAATTGATTTTTGACTGAAAATAACATCAGCGATCGCCTACAGCCAATGAGAGAGCAGCATTCACTTGTGTGTGCGTGTGTGTATACCTGCTGCAGGTCAGCGGGAGGCTGGGGGAGAAATTTTCTTTTTCGGTTTATTTGGACCCACGAAATGGAGGAAAAACTAGTGGAGGTTTGACAGGACTCAGGAGCACCCGTGTCTGTTTGACGTTTCATACATAAAGAAATTAGTTTATCATCAACGTTTAGGAGAAATGGCTAATTCCCTTTAAACCCAGGTGATCAAACATGTACATGTTCTACCCCATTAAAGGCTTCTGTCTCATTATGTAGTTAATAACAAAAGATATACGACGTGTTTTTGGCTGTGAGACGTAGTTTGGACGAACTTGTCGGCGATTCTTCCTATAGTAAAGTCATGCAATGTGAATGTCCATGTCGCCGAACCACCTTGCAGTGTAAACAAAGCAGCGACGAAACGCTAGCGCAGATAGTCAAGCAGTGTGAAAACATCTGTGACACAACTACTTTGAAAATCATGCAGTCTGAACTCGGCATAATTGAAGGCATGTAATAGCGATACCTGGTGGTTATTTATTGAATTACGTTCATTTTTGTATAGCGGGCCAGATTCGATTAATATTTATAAAAAGCCTCGCGGGCCGCCACAAAACTGATTGCGGGCCGCAGATGGCCCGCGGGCCGTAGTTTGGACACCCCTGAACTAAACAGTCTCAAGCGCCACCAGCTGGACATTATTAGAAGTGCGCCTGAGATTCTGAAGCTGGATAAATACACTTTTTATGGACACACTTTAATTGAGTACATTCTATGTTTCATTATTAATGAAACATACTTGAGTCAAACCAATGAATATTACACTGCATTGCTGGACGTTTGATGACTGTTATGACTTAAATTGATATATATATATGCAAGAGTGATTAATTAATGCTCCATTTATCGTTTAAATGTCATAAAGTGAATTTATTTACCTTGGCATTTATATATGCTGTTTTGCTTTAAGAACAGTTTTCCTATGATGCTTAGCGCTACTGAAAGCGCGCCTGTAACCATTGGCAACTGACTCATATTACCTGTTTTCAGTATACAAAAAACTTCAGTAAACAGTTCATTTTCGTTCTAAACTATGTTTTCCAGTCGTCATTATTGCTGCTAGATGAAAAGACAGAACAATGACAGCTTTATTTATAGCTGGGGATAATGCTAAATGTGAATTAGTGCGCAGATGTGCTTTAAATTATCGGAATTCATCAACAGACACACGTTCAGCTGTGAAATCTGATGTCTGGTGAATACAGGAGAGTTTTCAGGAAGGTAAATCTAATATGTTAAACGCTTTCCTAATGAACACGACTAAGGCTTCTCCTTTGCATGAACTCTGAGGTGGACCCTCAGTTCATAAGGCCTCAAAAATGCTTTACCGCAGTGATCACATTGGTGACTTTTCTCTCCAGTGTGGATCAGCATGTGCTGATAAAAGGATGATGACTGTCTGAAACTCTTCCAACACTGAGTACATGTGAACGGCTTCTCTCCAGTGTGGATCAGCATGTGTTGATTAAGGGATGACGACAGTCTGAAGCTCTTCCCACACTGAGCACATGTGAACGGTCTCTCTCCAGTGTGAATCCTCT